GCTTTTTATGAAGTAGGCCTATGTCAATCTCCTGTTTCTGTTACACTTATGAGTTGGATTGATTCGGAATTCTTATTTGTATCATGGGGGTTTATCTATGACAGTCTAACAGTCTCTATGTTATTACCAGTTTTATTAGTATCCGCGTTAGTTCATCTTTATTCTATTGGTTATATGCGTGAAGACCCACATAACCAAAGATTCTTCTCATATCTATCTATGTTCACTTTCTTTATGTTAATGCTTGTATCAGGTGATAATTATCTCCTTATGTTCATTGGTTGGGAGGGTGTAGGTATTTCTTCTTATTTATTAATTAATTTCTGGTTTACTCGACTTCAAGCTAATAAAGCAGCCATTAAAGCATTGGTAACTAACAGAATTGGAGATTATTTCTTCAGTATTGGGCTGTTTGCATTATTTTGGACATTCGGAAATCTCGACTACTCAACTATTTTCTCTCTTGCTCCAGTAATTGACCAAGATATTATTACTATAATTGGGATTTGTTTATTACTAGCAGCCATGGGTAAATCGGCTCAGTTAGGTCTACACGGGTGGCTACCTGATGCGATGGAGGGTCATTTTTCTATTATGAAAGTAGTATTTTTAATGTGCGATTTTGTTATAATTTATCATAGCAGCAGCAGTATCTCTTTATCCGCTATTATCCCTACAGCTTTTCAAAAGGAAGTAATTACAGGTCTTCTGTTAAGCGACGGGCACTTAAGAAATCCAAATCAGTCTAAGCGCCCTACTGGATACAAAACGTCTAGAATTTACATTCAAAGCGGCTTCGCCCCGCGAAGCGGCCTCTTTAGAATTTATGCTCCCCCGGGTTAAATTTTGGGGTCAATTTCAACTCTTTCTCTGCCAACACCTTGGCCAAAATTAAATCCTACTAAATACTGGTTTAGCACTTCTAATTTACCTTATTTTTCTACCCCCGGGGTGCATTCAGGCACCCAAGGGCGTCCGGAGGACAGATTTATTCTTCTTGGTACAGTTTTAATGAGAATCTCGGTTCATTCATTAAGATTTTACCTTATAATATCCTATCTTTATTCACTGATCTCTCTTTAGCTCGGCCGCCGGCCGGGAGCTTACTTTATTATGGGAGATGGTTATTGGGATAATGATAAAAATACTCCCCTTCGGGGGCGCGCCGCGGTGGAACTATGTACTGATAATTTTACTGAACTTGAGGGACAAACTATTATTTCATTCTTTATTCAAAATTAGGCTTAATCGCAACCAAATCTCGGCCCCCGAAGGCCCTTTGGGACGGAGAGTACAACCTAACGCTAAGGTCTGCGGGCGGATTAGATTTAGTGGTAAGGCTGAAAATCTTAAGAGATTAAGACAGTTAGTAAGCCCTTATATGCACCCTCTATGATGTACAAAATTAGGATTTTAACTTAAAAAATACTAAGACTGGGCCCTCCAGAACAATTGTTCAAACTCTTCACTATATGCTTAAAACACCTCCTACCTTATTGGTATATCTAAGAGAGTTCGATTATCTCTCCCTCCCCCACAACAAGTGGCCAAAGGGAGGGGATTGGATAAGATAACAGTCAAAGTGCTATAATATAGCAAGAATCTTTTGAACAAGGGGTCGATAAGCAGAATCTCAATGATTGATTCTCAGAGACTATTTGTGCAGTTCATTAGCAATAGCAGATGAAAAGATATAGTCCGAACCAATATGAAAATATTGTTAACACTTGCCAACTCCAGTGTCTGCTTTAATTCATGCTGCGACCCTGGTGAGGAATACAGAAATTGATTGTAGTATTATCGTAAGAGAACATTAACAGTCATTAAAATTATTAAAGAGTCTTGGACATGGAAATTCAATAAAAGTAAAGAATAATGAAAAGGATAAACGGTTAATAAGTGTTTTTAGAACTATATAATAATATCACAATGGGTCTTGGTAATGCATTTATCACCTTCTCTAATTTTGCGGGGGTGATTCTTACTGTCTTTGTGTATTCAATCTTATTTTGCGTCGTGCAATGTGTACTACTACCAGAGTTAGACGTAGCTAATGGTATTAAGGGAGATCCTTACCGGCAGTCGCCAGACTGTTTCTTCTTCAAATAAGAAAGGAACTAAATCTCGGCTAAACCCCTGGTTTGTTACAGGATATACTGATGGAGAGTGCTCATTTTCTATTAAAGTCTCTCGTTCAATTAAAGCCTATTCGGGTTTAGAATCTCCCCGGGGCAACAGGATTGTCTATTATTCATCGAAAGGAGCACCTAACTCCTGAAGGTTTAGCTCAATTGAAGATTTTATGTTACCGAATGAACTCTTTTAGAACTTTCGATTAATACTACTAAATGAATTTCTGTATCATGTTGCCGTAGAAATAACATGGTACGAAAATAGGGCGTTCACATTATCCATGCGGAATAGGGGATTTCTCTTAAAAGAGAAGAATAATAAAAAGAACAATTATATTACGAAGTTAGCTCGTTAAAAACTTTAGCTGTTGTTCGGGCTCATTTTATGGCTTACCCCTTCAGTCTCCCCGTTGGGGTGACCGCGCGGAGCGCAGTCAACTAAATTACTTCATTTTCAATTGTGGTGTACTGTAATGGATAAACTGCTTAACAAAGATCATCATGATTTAGCAGGATTATTATCTATTCTGGCCATTAAGGCAGTATTCCCGAAAGGACTATCGACGTTCTTCTAAATCGTTTTTCCAATGTAGTAGCAATTACTAAGCCCTTATTTGAGCCCTCAACAGACGCGTTAAATCCTTATTGGATCTCCGGGTTTGTTCAAGCAGACGGTTCTTTTGGACTTAATCATGTTGTGGATTTATCAATGAAACAAGGAGCAACATTTCAACCACAGTTTCGAATCTCTCAGCATGCTCGAGATTTATCATTATTACTTCCCCGGGGTAGAATTATCAAAACATTCGGCCCCCCCGGATGTGCCCCCCGGAATTTAGTAAGACCTTCTGGAGATCGATTAGTGTATGGTATCTCTGTCTCTAATCATAAAGATCTTTATGATACTATTGTTCATTATTTAATCTGTACCATCTTTTTGGAGCCAAAACTCTCGATTTTCAAGATTTCTCTAAAGGTCTTGAAATTATCCATACAAGAGGCCACTTAACATCTGAGGGGTTAGCACAGATTAAAGCTTTGTACTATCAAATGAAAACCTTTATAAAATTGTAATATAATGTGAATGTAACTTTACAGGTTGCCGTGGAATTATTTCTATTATTATTTTACTATATGCAAGGAAGCCATAAGCTCAATCTACTTTAAGGTTACAATGATTGAGATTGGTTATTTGCAGGGAAACCTCAGAGACTACAAGTAAAAGCCAAATGGCAAGACATAGTCCAATCTTCAATTCGTTGACGATGAACTGCTGGAGTTTATCTACTTCTACGATCCTCTCCAATCTTAGAGTATGGTTCTACTCCTTTAATCCTGATTACATGGGTAGGTGCGTTAACAGCTTTCTTTGCCGCTACTACTGGTTTATTGCAAAATGACTTAAAACGCGTTATTGCTTATTCAACTATGTCACAGATGGGTTATTTAATCCTAGCATGCGGACTCTCTCAGTATAGTTTAGCTCTATTTCACTTAGTTAACCACGCATTTTTTAAGGCTTTATTATTCCTAGCAGCTGGAGGGATTCTCCACGCGCTTAACGACGAGCAAGATCTTCGAAAAATGGGTGGCCTTGCTCAGATCTTACCTTTTTCATACGCAATGCTCTTAATCGGATCATTAAGTTTAATGGCACTCCCATTTTTAACCGGCTATTACTCTAAAGACCAGATTATCGAATCTGCTTTTGCTCAGTATCAATTTTCAGGTTTATTCGCTTTCTGTTTAGTTACTATTTCGGCTATTTTCACCGCTTTATACTCAATCAGATTCTTATTTTTAGTATTCTTTAGTCCACCTAATGGGCCAAAAGCTAACTATATCAATGCGCATGAGCCACCTATGTCAATGAGTATTCCATTAGTGATCCTGGCCTTCTTTAGTATTTTCTTTGGGTATTTTACAAAGGAATTATTCACTGGAGTTGGTTCTTCTTTTTGGGGAAACTCTATTTTTGTTAATCCTAATCATTCTTTAATGATTGATACTGAATTCGGAGTATCTACAGGTGTAAAACTTTTACCATTATTTGGTGTCCTTTTTGGAGTAATCTCGCTTATTATTATGTACTCATTATTTCCAATGGCATTAGTTAATGTTAAACTTTCCTCTTTAGGTAAATTATTATATAGTTTCTTTAACCAAAAATATTACTTTGACACAATTTATACCAAATTTATTATTAACCCTGCATTAATTTTTGGTTATATTACCTCAAAGGTTCTAGATCGCGGTGTTTTTGAGACTATCGGCCCCTTTGGCTTACTCCATTCTTTTTCGTATGGTTCGCATAAACTAAATTCCTTGGATACTGGGTTTATTCCACACTACGCTTTATACTTCTTTTTTAACCTTTGTGTGTTAATCGCATTCATTATGTATCTCCCTAACCCTCAATATATTATTCTTTACCTGATCACACTGTATTTAATTTAATATTTGTTAGTTTACAATTCTAAGAATAGGTAGCATGAACTCAATATGTTTGTGTGAGGGCGGGTAAGGGGTCTCTTGGAAAGTGTTGGTCAGGAACAGTAGTGCTAAACACATAAAAGTAAGAGATATAATCTCTACCCCTTAAAATACAATAAAAGAAAGAGTGTGGAGATAAATTATCAATGAAGCTCTCGAAATGATAATCAGGCGAACAAGGTGCTTATCCTCTCTACTTTAACACATTTTGTTCTCCGCCCTGCCCCCTTTGGGGTTTACATTATTCTAACCGAGTCGAAAGGTAAATCGTACATTGGGTTAGCAGTAAATATTGCAACTCCCACCTTGTTCTCTATCCCGATTTTATAGAATGTTCTATAAAAACCGCTCCCCCATCCACACACACAATGATAAGGGGATATGTCTTAATGGTAGAGATCTTGTTTTGCATATAAGCTGTTCTGGTTCAAATCCAGATATCTCCAAAATGAGCTCCCCCGTTGGGGGGGCCCCGCAGAGCGGAGCTATTCTTCTTCCACTTGTAGGGTCAATATTACGTCCAACTTTTGAATAAAATAATAATGATTAAAGTTGGTCATACAAGAGAGAAACACAGAATAGTTATTAAGTTGCCATTAACTGAAACTAAATGAAGGTAAAAGTAAAAGGTATAATAGCTGCTATCCCCCCTATACCCTTACTTTTGATTATTAATAAAGACGGCCCTTCGGGTAAGAATAAAAAGCCCCCACCAATGTTATAAAATAAAAGTAAGGGTGATGAACACTCCTAGTTGAGTAATCCGATAATCGGATTTAATTCTCGCCCGCATCCCCCTTTGATTGACCTTTTTATGAGCATATCACGTTAATGACATCTTGGAGGATGGTTAAATCTAAAAATCGAATTATCCGGAGTCTACCTTATTGTAAATACAATTCACGGAAATTGTTATGTAGGTTCTTCCGCATATTTAGTAAGACGTCTTACACAACACTTTAATGGTCATTGTTCAAACCCGCATTTACAACATGCTTTTAACAAATACGGGTTACACAATTTTTCTCTAATTATCCTTGCTATTGTTCCTCCAATCCTAAGAATCTTACTGTTTCTTGAGCAATTGGTCATACTCCTTCGAATAAAAAAGCAGTATCCGTTTATAGTCTTGAAACTTAATTTGTACTGTCCTTTAATTCTCTTACAGAAGCAGCCCAATTTCTGGGTGTCTCGAAAAAAACTGTTTCTCAAGCAATGAAACGAGGGTATATTATTAAAGGTCAATTCCGAGTTAGTTATTATGTGGCATAATGACTTGAAATCGTTTGTTCTTCTATTATTTAGCCGAATATAGGCTAGGGTAATCTTTATGGTAACAACCCATCAACAATATTCTCAATTTAATCCTTACTACTCGTTCTTGCGAGTTAACCATAATTTAAGGGGGATGAACGCTCCTAGTTGAGCAAGCAAATTTGCCAATTATTGTTTAATTGGCGATTTCTTTAATTCTCGCCCGCATCCCCATTGGTTTTAATATCATTGTTATTAACCAATAGAGAGGTATAAGAAGAGATAGTTACTGTTGAGCCCTTACTTAGGTAAGGGCAATACGACAGGTAAAACAATTTCACTTTATGTTTAGATCTGTTCAAGCTCACCCATATCATTTAGTTGAACCATCACCGTGGCCATTATTAGTATCATTAGCTTTATTAACAACAACTTTATCTGCTGTAATGACGTTTCACGGGGTTTCAAATGGGCCCTTACTATTAAGTTTAGGGCTTCTATCAACAATCTTTACTATGGCTTTATGGTTTATTTCAGTTACTAGAGAGGCAACAGCGGAAGGCCACCACACTTTTGCAGTTCAAAAAGGATTAACGTTAGGTTTTATTTTATTTGTAGTGTCTGAGGTTTTCTTTTTTCTTAGTATCTTTTGGGCTTTCTTTCACTCTTCGTTAGCTCCTACAGTTGAATTAGGGGCACATTGGCCCCCGGCTGGAATTGAGTCTATGAACCCTTGGGAAGTTCCCTTATTGAACACTGTAATTTTATTAAGTTCAGGTGCGACTTTAACTTATTCTCATCACAGCGTAATTGCGGGGGATAGAAAAGGTGCACTTAATGGTCTAGTAATTACTATTATTCTTGCTGGTATCTTCACAGGTTTACAAGGTTATGAGTACTTTAACGCTTCTTTCACGATTAGTGATGGAGTTTACGGTTCTACTTTTTTCATGGCAACCGGGTTTCACGGACTTCATGTGGTAATTGGAACCATTTTTCTCATTGTTAGCTTATTTAGATTGATCTCGTATCATTTTACAACGAACCATCATAATGGTTTTGAATCTGCGATTCTCTACTGGCATTAACCACCAAAGTGCCTTTCACTAAGCTATATGCTGGGAACCTCTAAAATTAATATACTCTCTACCCCGGGGCCGGGGAGTAATAATGATTAATTAGGGCTATCAGCAGGTAAACTAAACCTCAGAGACTACATGCTAGCTTCCTTAAGGATGATGATATAGTCCAAGGGATAGAAAAAATACCCTTGTTTGTTGATGTCGTTTGGCTATTCTTGTTTATTTCAATCTACTGGTGGGGTTCTTAAATCCCCATCCCTCCCACCCACCAAAAATAGAAAAAAAAAAGAGGGGTAAAACACTACCAAAGAGTAAGCGAATAAAATGAAGATTCCTTAAATTCTGAAGAGACTAGCTGGAAATGGGGAATACACCAAATTTTGGCGGCTATGGCTGCTAATCATGTCTAGCTCGATCTCCTTCCCACCCCGCAGGGTCGGGGAAAAAAAAATTGAACCAATGACGTGGTAAGAGGCCAAAAAAGAAGGTGAGGGAAGGAATGTCTTGATGGTTACTGTTTGGTGCGGAGAGGGAACCCTATCCAGAAAGGGTCTTACGACCTAACCTACCATTCTAATTCAATTACTTCAGATCTAGTAAACGATCAACATAACAAAGTTACTCTTCATAACGCAAGCTCCAAAGCCTTTGCTAAACTGCTGTCCAGAGGTCTTTAATGAGCAAGGATTGAGGTCAATGGGGCAACATCCTTACGAAGGTCAACTCACTACTCGTTACAGTCGCCAAACTCTCTCCAAATTCCGTGTTTAGTTTCTCGAATCTTCGATTCTGCGAGCCTAAATTCAGTTTTTTCTTAGAATTTTTTAGAGTATGAAATGTGTATTAAAGTTTTCTAAGTTGTCTCCTATTTTTTCGCGGCGTAATTTTGATTTATAAGCTCTCACGGAACGCTTAGATTTAAAGACGTTAAATATTAGAATGAATTGAGATAGGTTTTTTCTTATTTAAGAATTTCTCTTGAAGTTTGAATTCATCTACAAACCTGACAGGAAGGTATTAGGTGTCTACCAATGGCCAATTGGAATCTTCTAGTTTTTCCCACCATGTGATACTGTCGAAAGCCTCTTTATATCTAGCGCAAGCTATCTCAAATAAAAGAAAGTGTGGGAAGGGAAATATGTTTTCAGGAGAGACGAGACATTAGAAATGTAATATTTCTCGGCTCCGCCGGCCCTCCGGGGCCTTTTATTAAAAAAGGTGGATTTACACCCCGCCGCGATTGTTGAGTGAGTAATGGTAGTGCGCCATTTAATTTATAATAGTGTCCGGATGTCGAGTAGACGCAAATACGGGGACGTCAGTAGTATTCCATAGAACATAGTGGTAACGTCAAAAACATTCCGCTTAGGTATCCAACGAAAGAAGGAGCTGACAATAGCATGCGGATTTGTGTAGTGATAATGGTGACGCACAGGAATCCTCTGTAAACACATTCGGTTTTACTCCCGAGAAGGTCTTATTACTCTCTGAAATTTGCCATAGGAGAGGAACTACGAATCAGGCCAATGGACTGAGGACACCTAAAATCACAATAAACTATTATAAAGAACTTGGGATTGCCTAAGTTAGTGATAATATGGCAACGGATACAGAATATTACTTAAGAGGCGATTAATAACCGCGGATACAGGAAGTCTGTAAACTTAAAGAGGATTGGAGCCAATTTGCGAATCCGGGTAGTCGTGTAGATGTTAACCCCCAGTGGTGTAACTGGTATTAGCTGACGCGAGTAGATTGGCTGCTCTTTGGGTCAAGCCGTATACTTGGAAACTTGTACGTACGGTTTAGAGGAGGGATTTCATTCTTCTTGAGTCAGTCTTAAGAGGAGAACTTCTATTCCTACATTTTATCAATTTCAGTCATGATTCTTTCGATTGCCTTTTCTTCCCTTCGGATTACCGCTATTTATTTTAATCGGATTGCTATCATTTTATTACTTTACTCTGGGGTATTAGCTTATAATACCTTAAATGAGGGGCTAGTAGGTTCAGGAGTAGGGGTATTTGGTGGTTTATTCCAAGTAACTACCCTTACTCAGAGTATGGATGTTTTTATCTATTTAGTTGGCGCATTAGTGCTTCTATTAGGAGAAAATTCTACTTTAATCAGTAAGGGTAAAGGATTACCGGTATTAGCTGAATATCCTCTTATTGTATTATTTACAGTGTTAGGTATAAGTAGTTTAATTTCAAGTAGTGATCTAGTTTCTATGTTCCTCTCAATTGAACTACAAAGTTTTGCTGTGTATATCTTAGCAACTATTTATAAGGAATCTGAATCCGCTACTTCAGCAGGATTGAACTATTTCTTACTAGGTAGTTTATCTTCAGCTCTAATTTTACTAGGTAGTAGTTTATTGTATGGTTTCACAGGTCTTACGAATTTTGATGGATTCTACATGTTATGTTCTACTTCCTCAACTAATCACTTTATTGAAGTCGGTGTTTTATTAATGGCAATTGGTCTATTGTTCAAAATCTCAGCAGCACCTTTCCATTTTCCTTTCCCTTCAATCTATGATGGAGTTCCTACGATTGTTACTGCTCTATTATCCAATTTACCCAAAATTTCCCTATTAATTCTATTATTGGGATTAGCCCAAATTTTCCAAGATTCTGCTAGAATTAATACGATTTTCTTAATCACAGGATTATTATCTCTAATTTTAGGGTCAATCACTGCATTATCTCAGTCCAGAATCAAGAAGATTTTAGCTTATAGTTCAATTTCGAATGTTGGTTTCCTCCTCTTAGCTTTATCAACTAACTCAGAGGCTGGTCTAGAGTCCTTCTTTTTCTATTTAATTCAATATACATTATCGAGTGTAAACGTTTTCTTTATTCTAATCACTATGGGCAACCTATTATATTCTCCAATTTCAAAGTATTCTCCTCTTATTTATATTAACCAACTTAGAGGTTTTTTCACACATTATCCACTTTTGAGTTTTAGTTTAACTATAACTTTATTTTCTTTAGCAGGTATCCCGCCTTTAATCGGGTTCTTTGCCAAATTTATGGTGTTATTCTCTATTCTTTCTTCGGGTTCTTATTTTGTTGCTGTTATTGTTATTTTATTCAGTGTGGTCAGTGCTTCCTATTATTTAAGACTTATCCGGACTATTCATTTTGATTCATTTAGTATAACAGATAATAATGTATACCGTGAGGGGCGAATTAATGCTCTTTTTAGTCATACAATCGCTTCTTTAACCTTATTTTTATTATTCTTCATCTTCAAGCCCACAATTTTATTAAATAGTCTCCATCTACTGACTTTAACTATTTTTAGCAACTAATGAATACTTTGACTTTTTTCTTTTTCTTTGTTTCTATTTTAGTTTTAGCACTTTTAGTAATTAATAACCTAATCTCTATTAATAAACCGTATGCAGAGAAAGTTTCTCCTTATGAATGTGGCTACAGCCCTGTGGGGGATGCAAGAGGTAAATTTAGCATTCAGTTTTATTTAGTAGCTATCTTATTCCTGATTTTTGACCTTGAGGCTATCTTACTCTTTCCTTTCGCAGTTACATTATACCAAGTATCAACATACGGGTTTTGGATTATTTTCTTCTTTTTAATTATTTTAACAATTGGCTTAGTTTATGAACTATCAGTTGGTGCACTAAAGTTTCATCAAACACCTAACAAATCGCATCGAAGCAAGACTCCCCCCCAACATACCACAATTAAAATCTCCATTAATCTTAAAACTCAACTAACGTTATTCTTTATTCTATTATCAATTTTTTTCTTTTATCAAGCTACCTACACAGATTTATTTACTACTTTTTTCATTAGTATTGTTCCTCCGCTCCGCGGGCCCGAAGGGATTAAAGTTTATGCTAATAGTGATACTCAAAAATCCTCCATTTTATCAGAAAACCGTAAAAAAGCCGGGGTATATCGGTGGATTAATCGTTTAACGGGGGATTTTTATATTGGTAGCGCGGTTAACCTAACAGGGAGATTTTCTTCATATTTCAGTGCTTTTTTATAAAATAAAAATGCCCCCACGTTGTGGGAAGGGGGACAGCTAAAAACTATTATAATAATAACAAGGAAAATGTTGTTGTACAGCAGGTTTTCTCAAATGGCAACCGCTGATTGGTTGAACGTTAATGAGAATACGGTACGAAGACACTTAAAGTCGGGTAACTTAAACTTAGCTAACAGATTCTTGATCAGTTATTTCTCCCTTTACCGACTGACTCCAGAGAGCCCCTTTTCTTCTGTGCGCTATCCCTTCCCTTCTTTAAGCGGGAATTGCTGTTTTTCTTTTCATACGGAGTCGAGGGGTTTTGGTTTACGGTTCCACTCCCACAAATAAGTCCCCTCACAAATACCGTGCGGTCCGGGTATTAGATCATATACTGATCCAAATCGAACGCTTTTTCTTTCAGAGAGAAACCTTTAGGATTGAGTTCTTTAACGAGGACGATATAATCTAGTTAAAGTAGGAGTATCAAGAGATAGTAGCTCAAATGTTATTGTAAATAATTACAGAGTGAGGGTGGGTTAGGGGAGTCCTCTTTTTTCTCCGGAGGGCCGAGGAGACACACCCTTGGTCCAAAACAAAATATATACTGAGATCAGTGGACCATCCACGTTTATTTTCTAATTAATAAACCTTTTCAAGGAAAAATCGTAGATTTTGGTTTGAAACGGTGCTCACCGAGATGTCATTCCTTAAAATCGGACGTATTATAAGATCTCGATAATGATATAGCCCTTTTAATAGGGGTCATTCTGAATAGTTATTTACTTTGCTTTGAATGATCACTCTCGTATTATAAAATGTAATGTTCTTTTTTTCTTTAATTCAAATTTTAATTGTAATTTTACCTTTACTTCTCGCAGTAGCTTTTCTTACTTTAGCAGAACGAAAAGCTATGGGTTATATGCAGCGTCGTTTAGGTCCTAATAAAGTGGGATATTATGGTTTACTTCAACCATTCAGTGACGCCTTGAAACTTTTTGTTAAGGAATCAATTATTCCTAGTCATGCTAATACCTTCTTATTTCTTTTTGCACCTGTATTAGGCCTAGTTTTAGCATTATTTGCTTGGGCGGTAATTCCTCTCGGTCCTGGTTTATTTATTGCTGATTTATCACTAGGTGTTTTATTTCTGCTTGCTATTTCCTCATTAGGAATTTATCCAGTATTGATTGCCGGTTGGTCCGCGAATTCTAAATATACATTCTTAGGTGCTCTTAGAAGTACAGCTCAAATGATCAGTTATGAGGTAGTTTTAGGTTTAATTATTCTAAATGTAATTCTATTAACAAGCTCTTTCAATTTGACTGCTATTGTTCAAGCTCAACAATCTATTTGGTATCTTGTTCCTTTGCTCCCCCTTTCATTAATGTTTTTCATTGCAATTATTGCTGAAACAAATAGAGCACCGTTTGATTTAGTTGAAGCCGAATCAGAGTTAACCGCGGGATTCTTTACAGAGCATTCCAGTGTCCCTTTTGTCTTCTTCTTTCTAGCAGAGTACATTAATATCTTACTAATGGGTACTTTCTTTTCTATCCTTTTTCTAGGGGGCTGGTTATTTCCATTTGGTTTAACTTTCAACTTTCCTTATTATTTATCTATTTCTAGTTTAATCCTGGGACTTAAGGTTATTTTCATCTGTTTTTTATTTATTTGGGTGAGAGCCTCACAACCACGTTTACGTTTCGACTCGCTTATGTTGTTCTGTTGGACCGAATTACTCCCCCTAGTCCTCGGTTTTATTGTTCTTACCCCTAGTATTCTAGTGGCCTTTGAAATTTATTAAAGCAGATAATATCTGCCCCCTACTCATTCCGCCCTTCCGGGGTGGTATAAAAATTAAAGTAAGCACAATATATCTAGTGCCAGAGTATATTTTGTTAAAAGTGGATTTTCCCTTTAGATTATCGCTATTATCTAAAATGGGTTATCTTCACAATGTTAATCTACCCGCGCAGCGGGGGGCTTAAACACTTATTCCCCTCCGTCCCCCTTTTTATTTACAATGGAATGAGACTCTGATCCAGGGTAGAGGATGCAAAGCAATAGTGTTTTAAATTGAGAACGCTGAGATTTGAACTCAGATCTTGCTGATTAAAAGTCAGAAACTTTAACCAATTAAGTTACGCTCTCTTTTTTGTTACGTTTAAAGCCTCACCAAGGCCCTTCCTTCTCGTCAAGGGTATTCCCTTGATCTGTGTGCATTGAGGGGGTAAAACAATATTTTCCTTCTAATTTGGCTACAGAAAGGCTTGGTAATTCACGTACATTTGAAACTAGGCGAGCCCTGTCTTTTTCTTTTTTCATTTAGAATTTATTAAATGAAAAAAGGGAGTAAGCGGGACTTCTTTTAAGGTTAGAAAGAGGATTGAACTCTTATTTTAAAGATTTGCAATCTAAACACATTACCAATTATGCTATCTAACCAATTTATACCATTTATTGAAGATAAATTCTGTCTCTTTCCCCTTTTTTTACTTTTATTAAAATCTCTTAGTACATATGGGAACCCCTAAAAGTAAAGGTGTATTAAGGGAGACATTCCTGTGGGTTTTATCCATTATTTAGCCTGCGTGATCATGTGTGTGGTTTTAGATCCGGTATTAACCACTGGCCAAAAACAACATTATTAAGGCCTTTGGTTCCCCCTTTTTTATTGGATATTCATGGAGGAAAATAGGGATTTACTTGTTGCGTTCCAAAACCTTGTTTTTGGTAATAGATATCCCCATTACACCAGGAAGTCTGGATAAGTATGATTATTATTTAAAACTTACATCATCGGTTTTTTCCCCTTTTCCTTTTTATTCTAAATAATTACTAATTATAAAAAGCGGGCGAAGCCGGGGGCCCGCGGAGCGGAGGGAAACAAGCCATTGATCCGATTTCACAAGCAGAAACAGCTAAACCCCTTTTGCCGCGTTCTGTAGCTACAATTCTTAATAGTTAACCAATGCAGATCGGTAGAAAGATTCTCACCGGGAAGGTGTTTCAAAGAAACTACATTCGCCTTCGGCGGCCGCGGAGCGTAGTAAACATTATTTCAATTTTACCTGATATTATATCTCTGTGTCTGTATCTCCTCTCTCCTCCTCTATATAAGCTCATGTGGGCAGTTGATTAATAGGTAAATCTGTATGTTTTGATCATACCTATGGGAGTTCAAACCTTCCCTGCCCAGTATAAATTAAGGAAAATATAGAATGGACTAAAACTTAGAGTAATTTTGATAAGGGTTGAGTTTTTATTTGATACTATGCAGCTCTCCTTATCGCCCCCTTTGGGGGGCTTTTTATTCTTACCCGGAGGGCCGTATTTATTTATAATAAAAAGTATGAGGCTACTCACAAGAATCGCCTATGGTTTGCGTAGGGTCAATTTAGTTGATTTAAACGTTTTTAAAACTCCATCATTTAACTTACTAACGGTATTATAATAAATTGGGGAAACTCTAATTAGCCAATTTATATGTTCTTATTATGAAATTATTAAAGAGTCATCCGATTCTAAGTATCGCTAACAGTTTTGTTATCGATTCTCCTTCTCCTTCTAATCTGAGTTATTTATGGAATTACGGTTCTTTACTAGGAACTTGCCTTATTATTCAAATTATCACTGGAGTTACTTTAGCAATGCATTACTCAGCTAACGTAGATTTAGCCTTCATGAGCGTTGAGCATATCTATCAATTAGGCACACTCAATTTATTAGGGGGGACTGGTGCACTATGTGTTACAATTTTTTTTAATCCACGGTGATATTTACCAGTATCACTGAGTTTAACACATTCTTTACTCTTTTGGTTATTTTACGGGCTTTTTCTATCTTATGAAAATCTTCCTATTACTTTATTCTTCACTGGATTATTTCTACACATTATGGGGTTTTTCTACATTCGATGGCTTTTGATTTTTATTCTATATTTAATCTCCCTAAGTGTAACTCAAATTTTGTTGGTTAGAGGGAGATTTCTCAAATACAGCTTTTCACTATTAAATTCTTGGTCATTTAAGACACATATCTCCTCTAGCTCAACTCAACTTTCTCCTGAATTTCTCCAATGGTTTGTCGGTTTCACAGACGCAAAACAAAGAATTCTGTTCGTAAGTGTATTTCTTATGTTTTTTAGTTTAATTCTTATCAATTTTACTAATGTTTCGGTTATTTACTGTGAATCCACTGATATGGTAATTTGGGGAAACTTCTAATGTAGGTATACAAGATTTGGCCCACTGCGCTTCGCGCGCGCCGGAGGCGAGTAAGTAATATTATTACCTTGCCTCCATTTATCAAAGGGGTAATTGTTGGATTAATTCTTTCTGATGGTTGGCTTACTTTTGCATCAAAGACTAATAAGAATGCACGTTTAGGTTTTAAGCAAGGTATTTTACATTTTGATTATTTTTGGAGCGTATTCTCCCAAAGGGGGAATACGCCGCCGGGGGCAGCGTATTCTCTTGCTTATCACATTACTGTTCTAGTTTCCCTCATTCAACTTCAAGTACACGAAATGCTGTACTAAATTTTGGTGTTGAATTTTTTACTCCCCAGAGGGGCCTCTTTACCGTGCTTCACTGAATTACACACGCTATTTTATGCCAACAGAGTTAAGGTAATTCCACAGAATATCTATGAATTACTGACTCCTGTTGCCCTCGGCCCATTGGATTATGGGTGATGGTTCAGCTAAACCAAGCGGACTAGAACTTTGTACTGATTCTTATACAGTTCCAGATGTTGTTCGGCTTATGAATGTTCTTATTGTAAAATATGACCTTGAGTGTACGCTTAGAATTCATACACCTACTCAACCTAGAATCTATATTAGATCACGTTCTATGAAGACTTTACGTACAATTGTATTACCCTATATGGAACCTTCTATGTTATATAAGATTAAAGCATAAAGAGGGGTGCTTTACTGCATCTTTTATGCTATACACTAAGGGTAGGAGGGGAATTTTAGTATTGTTCCAAATAAAGAAGGGACTAGCTTTCCCCCAAAGGGGGCTTTGTTTTTCGGATTTCCTTACATCTCGATGATAAGGCTGTATTAGAGTTTATTCAGAAAACATTAAAAGTGGGTAAAACTAATATTAGTGGAAATACAGTAACTTTTATTGTGCAACGGTTTGAGGATATTCTTCAAGTTATCATCCCAATTTTTGATACTTATTCTCTTCTAACAACGAAGGTTCTTGATTTCATGGATTTTAGAACTGCTGTAATGCACAAACAACAAGGTTTTAACTTATGATGTTATTGCTATGATTTTATCCCTTAAAAATGGTATGAACTCCCCCTTCGCGGGGCGGGAAGGAAAAACGCGGACGCTTATTTAAATCATCCAATTAGTATTAATGCCTTTTGGTTATTAGGGTTTTGCGAAGGAGAGGCGACATTTGGGCTTAAAAATCTCGCGCCCCCCGGAGGGGCTTTTCAAATTCCTCAAACCCCCTGGGACAAAAGGTTAATAGTGAAAGAGTTCTTCGTGCAATCGCAGAGTTTATTGCGAATCTTCCGTTATTATCCCCGGAGGGCCTTTAACCAACAATAGTCCAGCTCCTGTATGTTCTTTTACTTTAAATAAATGGACTCAGGTTATCACCTGTAGTTGGAGTAATATTATTCTTTTCATGATTACATCTTACCGTTTTTTAGTAGTTTACCTTTTCATTCACGGAAGGAAGTAGATTTTTAATTATGGTCTCTCGTAGTACGAATCCATAAATTTGGTTATTACGTTTTACCTGAAGGGAAATCATTACTCCTGCCCCCCGCCGAAGGCGAGTGATTGCTTCCTCTATTAATAAAAATAGATACTCTACTAACCCTGAGGGGCCTGCTGTGGGCTCTACTCAAGCACAAATTGATCCCCAGAGGGTGGGCGGAGCCCAGTGTATTTTAATTATTACCTCGGCCTCCGGCCGGCCCTCCGGGGCCTTTTGATGTTCAATCTGGATTAAGTCATACCCTTCTAGCTCAACAGTATTATCGAGATTTAGGCAGTCGAAAAGGATTCGAAGTATATGTTTACTTAAATGGTGTAGCATTAGAATCATCTCCTTTTTCATCATATTATGCTGCGACGAAAGCATTAGGCCTTAGCAGCAAAGTTATTGCTCGTTATATTGATACTAACAATACCTTTAACGGGTATCAATTTAGATCTACTCCTATCCCCCCTAATTAACATTGATTTATGTTTATCAATATCGGTAGCGAGTCTCTGAAAGAAGAGCTTAAACCAGTTTGAAAGGAACGATCCCTAACACACACGATGTGCTCATTAATCTTACTATATGCTGGAAACTTTCTTAGTGCCTAAGAATATTAAGTACTTGGGGGGCTTCGCCCCCAAAGTAATAATTTTAATGATTTAGTAATCAGCACCCCGGTAATTATTACCCCCCCCGGGGCCAGAGACTTTATGTAAGAGTTCTTTTAAAATAAGATAAAGTCCCTGATTGATTAATCAATCGAGATCATGCGTGACGTTAACTACGGTTGGCTTATTCGTTACTTACATTCTAATACCGCTTCTTTCTTCTTCCTATTTGTTTATCTTCATATTGGGAAAGCGATTTATTACGGCTCGTATAAATCGCCTAGAACTCTATTATTCAGTATTGGAGTAATTATCTTTGTAGTTATGATGGCAACAGCATTCCTAGGTTATGTATTTAGCCTAAAATGATCATTATATTATACGTGCTTCGGCACGAAAAGAACGGATTGGTGGAGTTAACCGAGGTAAACAACTAACTCCGCTCCCCAGAGGGGGCCGAAGAGACTAAAGCCCTTATTCGAGCTAAGGCTTCTCAACGAACAGAGGAAGTTAAGGAGAAATACCGGAAAGCTTCCTCAATCCCTGTTACAGTTTTTAACCTTGATGGATCCGTAAAGGGGACATATTCAGGTATCAGAGCGATGGCACAAGATTTAAAGTGTTGCCATAAAGCAATCTAATAAACATAACAAAATAGAATATAATGTATCATAGTCCTATCATATGGTTATGCAATTTTCACAGAAAAATAACTAAAACGTGGTAGAATACCCAGACAGGGTATTGGGGGGATATATCATAGTGTATTCCCCTGGCGATATCAGTGAAAACGGTTAAAGAAATTACTCCTTTTCCAGACCGTCGGTTATGTGAATGATCGCTACAGACTGGGTCACTGATGGGTGTCTGCTCCTGAAGGCAAAACAGGTTGCTAATTCCATTATTAGAAAATATTAGTGAAACATAGATAACAATACAAACCACATTGTTATATAAGAAAGAGTATATTATCTTCTTTGATTTAACTATATCTCTAATTATTCAATTCTGCGGAGTTGTCGGAAAGTAGGGTTTCCTGTTTCACCTTAAGGCTATGGTGCTTAATGTACAGTCGGGATTCTCAGTCAATACACAAGGC